AAAAATAAACTTGTCTTTTTCTTTCTCTGCTCTAGGAGAGGTGCCAGAAAGTCACTACATCATGGTAGATCATCCTTGAGGCACTGTAGTCAGTCAGTTGCCTGGATGGTCTGGGGCAGGGGCGGGTCAAGGACCCTTTGTAGATAGTTCCATCAGCCACCTCTCGAGCACCAGCTAAAATTCTCTCAGCCTCACCTTTCTCTCTTCCAGCCCCCACTGCACTGCTCAGCTCTGTATGGACTCTGGTTAGCTTTATGCAGGTGCAACCCTACAGTGATTCACTTCACACCCATGCCACGTGCCTCCTGCCTCCTGCTGCAGGGACATCTCCTACATCCACACAGGTGCCACCCAGAAGCGCAGAGTGAACCCACGGGGAATGGTATTCATTAGACACGTGCTTCCCTTCTTCTCCCAGAATGACTGGTCATTTCAGAAGGACCAAACAACCCCTCACTGATAGCACAGACCGACATATATTTAATTCTCCCTCCTTTCTTTTCTATGCCCCTGCCCTCCATGGCACCTCCATGGCACCACACTTCCAAGTTAAGCCCTCACACACAAGCCTTTGCTTGTGCTTTCCATGGGACCAGGACTAAGATAAAAATGATAGTGGTAACCCCCCTGCAGGCGCACAGTTAGCCCTACTGCTCGCCAGGGAAGGTGGATAAAGGTGGCACTTTGTTCTTTGGTTCCCAAAAAGGCAAATGTCCTTGCCCTCTCATTGTATAGGTCTGAAAAGGGGGAAAGGAGACAGTAGTCCCCGGTGCTCAAGGTGGGACAGAAGGATAAATCCTGGGCAAAGACTGTATCAGGAATGGAAGACCCCTCTGCAATTGACTGAGCTCAGCCAAGGGTCCCTAGGCTATGGCTTTCAGCATTCAGCTCTTTCCAGTGGTGACTGAAAGGAAAACTACTTGACCTTCAAGCTGCGTATCTCCAGAAAAGAAAGCAGGGGAGCAGCTCCTGGTGTAGCACCTCTGATGGCCACGAGGACTGTGCTCTGTGGCAGCCCTATGCTCTTGCAATAAGCCAACACAAGAGCAGAAGGCTTGGAATCTTGAGTGTCCCAGCCAGGAAGCCAGACTAACATGCCCCGTGCTCCCTGCAACACACCCCCTATGGACTGCTCTGCTGTCTAATCAGGTAACCACTAGCCATATGTGGATATTTAAATAGACAATTAAATTAATTAAAATAAAACAAAACAAAACAGTCAGCCACTCGGTTGCATGAGCCCCATTTCAATGTTCAACGGCAAGAGGGTGGCCAGTGGCTACTATATTGAAAAGGGCAGAAGAGACCACTGCCATCATGGCAGAAAGTTGTATTGGAGGTGCTGCTCTGGAGTCAGGACTCTGGGTTTTAGTCAGTTAGTCAGGAGACCAACACCAGACTTACCACCCACCTATCAGGGGAATGGAGGGTGGCTTTTATTTATGTGGTAAAATAAAAAAAAAAAACACGAGAGTATTTGTTCTCTGAGTTGGTAATAAAGCACTTATATGTGGTTACATTAACAGCAATGGATATTTGGATGCTGGGGCACAGGAGACCCCAATCTTTATGGAAGAAAAGATTCTACTCTTAAAAACCAAACAAAAATATGTATACATATATGTGTTTAATTCCCACATACTTAGGTACAAAACACCCAAAAAGTATTTGGGTAGAAAAACTATCTAGAGTATAAGATTAATGTTCCCCAAGGCTACAAAAATAATGGAGAAATTATTAAAACAGTTAATTATATTTAATATCTTAATTTTAATTCCTATGTACATCAGTTATCTAAAATCAACACGGGTTCCACTCAAAGCTAAGAGTAAGAAACTATACTGGGATAGAAGCCAAAAAATTAGGTATAAGTTAGCTTCTTCATCATCAGATGGAAGGCACTGACCTTTAGAACTTAAAATCCTCATTGTGAACACCAGAATATCATCATCTCATTTGGCGATATTCTAGAGAGACATTAATATCCCTCTCCAATCTCTTAGCATAACTGTTGGTACCTTAAGAGACTGGATCATAACACTAGGTAATTTACATATAGCATTAATCACATGTCATTTTCAGTATTATTAATTACTCACATTGCCTTTATAATTAAATATAGTAAGATTAAACCAAAGAGAAGTAATTTTTAAGTTCTTGCTTAGGGCTGATGCTCTGTTGAGTCTAACACAGCATCTTGCCTGGTGTAGGCATTTCCCTACCCACCTCTCAAATGTTGGTGTTTCACAAGTCCTGAGCTTTTCTCATCTCTTTTTTTTTTTTTAAGATTTTATTTATTTGACAGAGAGAGAGACAGCGAGAGAGGGAACACAAGTAGGGGGAGTAGGAGAGGGAGAAGCAGGCTTCCCGCTGAGCAGAGAGCCTGATGCAGGGCTCGATCCCAGGAGGCAGACGCTCAATGACTGAGCCACCCAGGTGCCCCCCTTTTCTCATCTCATCATTTATCCCAAGTGACTGTATCAGCAACTAGGGCTTCATTTACCAAAAAGAACTCCCAATAATACGGGGCTACCATTTGTGGAGCATTAACTATGTGCTAGGCCCTGTGACTTACAAGCATTAACTGGGTCAACAGTCACAACAACCCTGCCTGCAAGGAAGAAACAGCCCATGTCTCTTCCTAACAATCATCTAGATGCCCAGGTCATAGGTCCCTTAAACTCATTTCCAGAGCAGACTTACCTTCACCACAAATCTGCCTCAGTTCCTTCATACCTTCATGCAAAACATCGCAAGCCAGAAACCTACAAATCACCCTGGACTCCTCCCTCTCCTTTTTTCTCTACTTCCAATCAAGTTCCAAGTTCTATTATTTTTACTTCCTAAATATCCCTTCATTCCATGCAGACTGGCAGCACCCTAGAAAAGGCTCCCATCATTTCTTGCCCTGAGTCCTGCATCAGCTGTCCAACTCATCTCCCTGAATCTGGTCTTTTTTCTGTAATCCCAGTTACTCTACTAACTTAACCTTATTACTCTGGGCATCTGAAATACAGGGGTCTGTAATAATGAGGTCTCTCTCATAGGTTTACGTGAGTTAAATAAGACATAGAGTTTTCTAAGTGTCAGGTAGTTGATAAAAAGTTATACAGCTGACATATGAATTGAGACAATTTGGTGCTGAAGGCTACATGCTTAACCACCACCACATATGCCCAGGTGAGCCCATCATTATCAGAAAAGTCATGATGAACAGAGACATAAGAAAGGAACATTTATAGTGAAAAGCTTTTGAGAATGGCAATATAAATATACTCCAATTACTCTAAAACTTTGCAGCTTTAACAACAAACACTTATTATGTTGTGGTTTCTGTAGTACCACTTAGCTCAGTGTCTCTGGCTAGAGGCCTTTCATGAAGTTGTAGTCAAACTGTCAGCTGGGGTTGCAAACTCATCTGAAAGCTTGACTGGGGCTGAGGGGCTTCCAAGCTTGCTCATGTGCTTCTTGGAGGCCTTCATCCCTTGCCATATGAACCTTTACACAGGGCTGCCTCACAACATGGCAGCTGGCTTCCTCCAGGGCAAGTGATCCAAGAGACAAGAAGAGAGGGCCCCCAATAGGGAAGCCACAATCTTTTAATAAACTCATCTCAGAAGTAACATCCCACCACTTCTGTCATTCATTGGGAGTGAGTCATTAAATGCAGCCCATACTCAAGGACAGGGGTTTACACAAGGGCAGAGACCCACTAAGAGCCAACCCAGAGGCTGCTTACTATTATCACCCAAGTAGACATCACAGCCCTGGAGGGAGGGGGTGTACTGAGAATAAATGGGGCTCTATCAGCATTTCCTTTAGCTCTCTGCTTTTCAGAGTCAAACTGACCATGAACTTCATGTTCTGCTACTTTGTAATCAGTACATAACACTCTTGTCTCTGCCTCCTCCTCACTGCCATCTCTGTCACATGGAGGATATGTGGAGAACCCACAGATTGCTGGGGACTATTATATATCAGACTTTTTACATAAATCTAAAATAGATCAGCATTATAATAGCTACTGGATATATTGTTAAGCATAAATTTAAGTCAGGAAATATAACAATAATTAAAATTTAAACATTATCACAAAGTTCTAAAAATTAAAGCAATGCAAGTTATTTTTAAAAGAACCAAAGCTCTTTTGGAGATTTTTAAATAGAATACAAGTTAATAGTAAAAATAATTATTTCATGCTATTCTATCTACATTTCTAAGTAGTATTTTCATTATACTTCAATCTACTGTTACTAGCAAGAGACAGAGTATTCTGGGTTGAACTGTGTGCCCAAAAATATACAGGTTGGAATCCCAACCCCCCAGTATCTCAGAATGTGAGCTTATTTGGTGATAGCGTCTTTACAGAGGTAATCAAGTTAAAATGTGGTCATTCAGTTGGACCATAATCTACTATGACTGGAGTTGTCATAACAAGGGGAAATTTGGACACAGAAACAGACATGATAGAGGAAAGACAATGTAAAAAAGATACAAGGAGAAGACAGCTATCTATAAGCCAAGGAGAGGGGCCTGGGGCAGAACCTTCTGTGGCAAGCCTCAAAAGGAACCATGAGCCAAGCAGAGCCAGCACCTTGATTTTGGACTTCCAGCCTCCAGAACCATGAGACAATGAATTTCTGTTGTTTAAGCCACAAGTCTGTGGTACTTTGTTATGGCAGCCTGAACAAACTATTATAAGGCAAAGAAAGAAAAAATGAGATTTAGCGAGAGAGAGAGAGGCAGAGAGAAATAGAAAAGAAGATGATATGTCAAGATACATATTCACCTGGATGAGTTGATTTTAATAAGAAATGCACAAGGGCCTACTCCTAAAATCTCATTTAGCATATTTATGGAGCAGAAGCTGACAGATATTTCCAAAAACTGTGTAAATGGAACACAGTGCCAGGTGAAAACAACCAGATTCTCCCTCTACAGGTGGGGTCTGATCTGGTAGGGGTCAACAGTGGGAATCCAGGAGCAAGAGGGGAACCTACCTTCTGGTAGTCTTCTTTCGACCTCAGGGCCAACTCCATGTGCTCAGTAGAGGCTGGATAGATGGCTGAGCGGTACTGAGTGCCGTGGTCATTGCCTTGGCGCATGCCTGGGAATGTGGAAAGCAGAAAGGATCACTGGAGTGGACCAGGTAACAAGGCCAGTGTCACAAGTTCTCTATGATTCATGTGCTGCTAAGTTGTTTGGTTTTGTTTTGTTTTGTTTCCAATTGAAGTATGGTTGACACACAATGTTACATTAGTTTCAGGTGTACAACTTAGTGATTTGACAAGTCTTACCTTATGCTATACTCACCACAAGTATACCTACCATCTGCCAACATACAACGCTATTACAACACCTTTGACTATATTCCCTATGCTGTACCTTTTATTCCTGTGACTTATTCATCCCATAACCGGGAGTTTGTACCTCCAACTCTTCTTCTCCCCTTTTCACCCATCCCCCACAACCCCTCCCCTCTGGCAACCATCAGTTTGTTCTCTGTATTTATGGGTCTGTTTCTACAATTTGTTTGTTCATTTGTTTTGTTTTTTTATATTCCACAAACATGCGAATTTGTTTTTCTCTATTTTACTTATTTCACTTAGCATAATATCCTCTAGGTCTATCCATGTTGTCACAAATGGCAAGATTTCATTCTTTTTTATAGCTGAGTAATATTCTGTAAATGTATACCACAGTTCCTTTATCCATTCATCCATCAATGCACATTTAACATTGCTTCCATATCTTGGCTGTTATGAATAATGCAGCAATAAACACAGGGGTACATATATTACTAAGTGCTTGTTCTAATTTCATCTTGACACCACTCTCCTTAAACAAGCACAAAATACATGTTTCACTTTGCTTATTTTAATTACAACAGATGTTTGAACTTAGGTAAATTTATCATAGGTCTTAGATCATAGTAGATGCTCTACAAATATGTATTTTTCTATGCAGATATTTAAATCATAACCTATACCATTTTTCACTTGCAAAGCACTGTGTTGTACATTATTTCTTGGGATCTTAGTGAGATAAGGTGAATGGCAGTTACTATGGTCCCTCACTTGGCAAATAAGGAGATGGGATTACATATATGTAAGCACCTGGCATACTGCTTGGCACATAGGAGGTACCTATAAATGACTAAATAATTGGTATTCAGTGAGTTTGAAGAGCTTGCCTAAGGTCATCCACAAAATTAAGGGAAAACCTGAGCCTTAAAGTTAGCCCAGCCCATTTTCCCCCGTGTCACAGCTGCTAACATATAGATCCCAATCAATTTCTAACTGATAGTCCCCAAAGTTAAACAGCCACAGGCTAAATATAGATCCCCTATAGATCTCCATGCTGTGGTCAAATGAACCTCACATGCATTTACTGCATCATTCAAGAATCCACTTCAGTTTTGTTTTTTTATTAACATATAATGTATTATTTGTTTCAGGGGTACAGGTCTATAATTCAACAGTCTTACACAATTCACAGCACTCACCATAGTACATACCCTCCCCAATGCCCATCACCCAGCCACCCCATCCCTCGCACCCCTCTCCACTTGAGCAACCCTCAGTTTGTTTCCTGAGATAAAGAGTCTCTTTTGGTGGGGCGCCTGGGTGGCTCAGTTGGTTGAGCGACTGCCTTCGGCTCAGGTCATGATCCCGGAGTCCCGGGATCGAGTCCCGCATCGGGCTCCCTGCTCAGCAGGGAGGCTGCTTCTCCCTCTCTCTCCCTCTCCCTCCCTCCCGTGTGCTCTCTCTCTCTCTCTCTCTCTCTCACTCTCTCAAATAAATAAATAAATCTTAAAAAAAAAAAAAAAAAGAGTCTCTTTTGGTTTGTCTCCCTCTCTGGTTTCATCTTTCCCTCCCTTCCCCTATGATCCCCTGTCTTGTTTCTCAAAGTCCTCATATCAGTGAGATCATATGATGCTTGTCTTTCTTTCTATCTCTCAGATTGACTTATTTCACTTAGGATAATACCCTCTAGTTCCATCCACGACATTGCAAATGGCAAGATTTCTTTTTTTTTTTTTGATGGCTGCATAATATTCCATTATATATATATACCACATCTTCTTTATCCATTCATCTGTTGATGGATATCTAGGCTTTTCCCATAGTTTGGCTATTATGGACATTGCTGCTATAAACATTGGGGTGCATGTGCCTTTTCGGATCACTACATTTGTATCTTTGGGGTAAATACCCAGTAGTGCAATTGCTGGGTCATAGGGTAGCTCTGTTTTTGAGGAACCTCCATACTGTTTTCCAGAGTGGCTGCACCAGCTTGCATTCCCACCAACAGTGTAGGAGGGTTCCCCTTTCTCCGCATCCTCGCCAACATCTGTCGTTTCCTGACTTGTTAATTTTAGCCATTCTGACTGGTGTGAGGTGGTATCTCATTGAGGTTTTGATTTGGATTTCCCTGATACCAAGCAATGTTGAGCACTTTTTCATGTGTCTGTTGGACATTTGGAGTCTTCTTGGAAAAATGTCTGTTCATGTCTTCTGCCCATTTCTTGATTGGATTTTTTTGTTCTTTGGGTGTTGAGTTTGATAAGTTCTTTATAGATTTTGGATAGTAGCCCTTTATCTGATATGTCATTTGCAAATATATTCTCCCATTCTGTCGGTTGTCTTCTGGTTTTGTTGATTGTTTCTTTTGCTGTGCAAAAGCTTTTTATCTTGATGAAGTCCCAATAGTTCATTTTTGCCCTTGCTTCCCTTGCCTTTGGCAATGTTTCTAGGAAGAAGTTGTTGCGGCTGAGGTCAAAGAGGTTGCTGCCCATGTTCTCCTCAAGGATTTTGATGGATTCCTGTCTCACATTTAGGTCTTTCATCCATTTTGAGTCTATTTTTGTGTGTGGTGTGAGGAAATGGTCCAGTTTCATTTTTCTGCATGTGGCTGTCCAATTTTCCCAACACCATTTGTTGAAGAGACTGTCTTTTTTCCATTGGAATTCTTTCCGGCTTTGTCGAAGATTAGTTGACCATAGAGTTGAGGGTCCATTTCTGGGCTCTCTATTCTGTTCCACAGATCTATGTGTCTGTTTTTGTGCCAGTACAATACTATCTTGATGATTACAGCTTTGTAATAGAGCTTGAAGCCCGGAATGGTGATGCCACCAGCTTTGCTTTTCTTTTTCAACATTCCTCTGGCTATTCAGGGTCTTTTCTGGTTCCATACAAATTTTAGGATTATTTGTTCCATTTCTTTGAAAAAAGTGGATGGTATTTTGATAGGGATTGCATTAAATATGTAGATTGCTCTAGGTAGCATAGACATTTTCACAATATTTGTTCTTCCAATCCATGAGCATGGAATGTTTTTCCATTCTTTGTGTCTTCCTCAATTTCTTTCATGACTATTCCATAGTTTTCTGAGTATCATATCATCTGCAAAAAGTGAGAGTTTCACTTCTTCTCTGCCAATTCAGATGCCTTTGATTTCTTTATGTTGTCTGATTGCTGAGGCTAGGACTTCTAGTACTACGTTGAATAGCAGTGGTGATAGTGGACACCCCTGCCGTGTTCCTGACCTTAGGGGAAAAGCTCTCAGTTTTTCCCCATTTAGTATGATATTCGCTGGGTGTTTTTCATAGATGGCTTTTATGATATTGAGGTATGTACCCTCTATTCCTACACTGTGAAGAGCTTTAATCAAGAAAGGATGCTGTACTTTGTCAAAGGCTTTTTCTGCATCTACTGAGAGGATCATATGGTTCTTGTTCTTTCTTTTATTAATGTATTGTATCATGTTGATTGATTTGCAGATGTTGAACCAACCTTGCAGCCCAGGAATAAATCCCACTTGGTCGTGGTGAATAATCCTTTTAATGTACTGTTGGATCCTATTGGCTAGTATTTTGATGAGAATTTTTGCATTCATGTTCATCAGGGATATTGGTCTGTAGTTCTCCTTTATGATGGGGTCTTTGTCCGGTTTGGGGATCCAAGGTAATGCTGGCCTCATAAAATGAGTTTGGAAGTTTTCCTTCCATTTCTATTTTTTGGAACAGTTTCAGAAGAATAGGTATTAATTCTTCTTGAAATGTTTGGTAGAATTCCCCTGGGAAGCCATCTGGTCCTGGGCTTTTGTTTGTTTGGAGATTTTTGATTACTGCTTCAATTTCCTTAGTGGTTATGGGTTTGTTCAGGTTTTCTATTTCTTCCTGGTTCCGTTTTGGTAGTTTATATGTCTCTAGGAATGCATCCATTTCCTCCAGATTATCTAATTTGCTGGCATATAGTTGCTCATAATATGTTCTTATAATTGTTTGTATTTCTTTGGTGTTGGTTGTGATCTCTCCTCTTTCATTCATGATTTTGTTGATTTGGGTCACTTCTCTTTTCTTTTTGATAAGTCTGGCCAGGGGTTTATCAATCTTATTAATTCTTTCAAAGAATCAGCTCCTAGTTTCGTTGATCTGTTCTACTGTTCTTTTGGTTTCTATTTCATTGATTTCCAGTCTGATCTTTATTATTTCTCTTCTCCTGCTGGGTTTAGGCTTTATTTGCTGTTCTTTCTCCAGCTCCTTTCAGTGTAGGGTTAGGTTGTGTATTTGAGACCTTTCTTGTTTCTTGAGAAAGACCTGTATTGCTGTATTATACTTTCCTCTTAGGGCCGCCTTTGCTGCATCCCAAAGATTTTGAACAGTTGTGTTTTCATTTTCATTTGTTTCCATGAATTTTTTTAATTCTTCTGTAATTTCCTGGTTGACCCATTCATTCTTTAGTAGGATGCTCTTTAGCCTCCATGTATTTGAGTTCTTTCCAACTTTCCTCTTGTGATTGAGTTCTAGTTTCAAAGCATAGTGGTCCGAAAATATGCAGGGAATGATCCCATTCTTTTGGTCCCGGTTGAGACCTGATTTGTGACCCAGGATGTGATCTATTCTGGACAATGTTCCATGAACACTAGAGAAGAATGTGTATTCTGTTGCTTTGGGATGGAATGTTCTGAATATATCTGTGAAGTCCATCTGGTCCAGTGTGTCATTTAAAGCCTTTATTTCCATGTTGATCTTTTGCTTAGATGATCTGTCCATTTCAGTGAGGGGGGTGTTAAAGTCCCCCACTATTATTGTATTGTTGACTA